TAAAAATAAATATATATATATATATATATATATATATATATATATATATATATATATTATATGTGCGTGTGTGTGTCTGTGACTCTGTGCGCGTTGATTCAATTGATCAAGGTATTTGCTTTTTTATTTCGATTAAACTTTTAGGTTTTGAATACATATATATATATATATATATATATGTATGTATGAAAGTTTAATAGTTCTACAAAAAAAAATCTAAAAAAAATCGTCATGTATTGTTCAAATACGTTCATTCTCCGGCTATAAAAACCATTATTTAATTATACCAAAATACTATTATCTTTCTGAGACCATGTCTCCAATTGAAATATTGCTGGCTCATGTCGTTTTTGATGAATTAGAATTTTTGCAAAGGATTATTATTCGTATATTTATTTATAATAGTAGACCTTCTACCAAAACAAACATATATACATTATATATAGATAATTATTCCGATAAAAGGAACTAATCGTAGAAATATCCTGCCAAAATATAAACTTTATTAGAAAAATCATCATATAAATAACTATGAAATCACATCTCTTAAAAATTAACGATTAGACCAACCATCTATCTTTATGAGCGGTTTATTTGGACCCAAAATTATAAACACCTCTTTTTGAATAAACACTACGTTTTATGTCATGTTGTTGTTAAGTTCATAATTTATATATAAATTTTATAATTAATGATTTGTTTAAAAAACTATCTATATATATACATTTCTAACGAAAATTAAATAGATATAAATGTTATTTTACCTCCAAAGGAGAAGAGATGGGGATGTCACGTGTGAATGAGCAAGCGCACGTGGCTCATGCAGGAGCCCGTTGCTCAGTAGGTGTAAAAAAACTTTCTTTATCCCTTTTTTACTTTTTTTTTCATGTTCTCATTTCGCGTCTCTCTCTCTCTCCTCTCCTCTCGTCAACTTCTGGAAGATTGATGGCTTGGTGCCATTTCCAATCCTCCAGCAATTAATGGTCAGTCGGCCAATTTTCAATTGCTCCTCAGTTTCGTTCTTTTCTTTTTTACGTTTTGGTCAAACGTACACGAAGACAGGACCTCCCATACACGAGATTTACTATATATACACAGCATATACCTTATATTTACATTCCTATCTTCTCTCCTCCCCCGGCCAAGTCCTTCTTTCGCTTTCCAACTCTACCGGTATCCCTCCCTCTGATTCTCTCTATCTCTCTATCTATGCGCATATACATAGGTACATTTATGTGCACTTGTGTGTATGTGGGTTTATGTTGGGAAAGTTTGGAACTTTAATGGAAAATCTGAATCTTCTCCTCTCAGAGAATTGTGGGTCTGAGTTTTTTGTTGGTTTTATCGAAGATTGGCATGTGGGTTTGCGTTCTGTTTTATTGTTTTGCGCCCTGTTTGTTTGCTGGCAAATTTACATCAGGGAATTTTAATGGAAAATTTGGAACTTTCTCGGTGGGGCTAAAGCTTGCTTTGTCTATTCAGACTACGCCGGTCAAAATAATCTACCCAGACCTTTTTCTTAGTCAATAATAGTGGGCCGTCCTGAAAATTACAGGGTCTTCTGCCATGTCCGCACAATTCAGAACTTTCTGGGTGAGGGAGGAAAAAAATCTTGCATTTGTTTTCTTCTGTCTTTTATCTCCCTTTATATATTGGATAGGCATTTTTGGGGGATAGTTTTCTCCAATGATCTGAGAATTTCTTGCCGGGTATGTTTGGTAAAACTTTGCTAGCTTTCTATTTTCCGGTGTTTGATCGCTTAGACCAAAACACCCACTTTGCTTTCTGTTTCCTTTTTGACATAAAAGCGTGAATGGTTGGTGAAACCAGGACGGAATCCAATCGTGTTGGAGTCGTTGTTATATACGTCCCGTGTTTGGTTTCTGACCGATTTATACAACTTAAGGCAGCTCATAGTTTGTTTCTGAGGTTTTGTCTCTTTGAACAGGTTTTGTATGCTTATAGGCTTTTCTTCTTCGGGCTGTGCATCAAATTCTTGGTTGTTTCCGAGTTTGTTTCCTTGAACAAGTTATATGCTAAGAAGGGTTTTTTCTTCTTTTTTGCAGTTAGTTCATTTGATTGAAGCTGTCCATTGAGAAGAAAAAAGCTATGGAGGTCAATCGTAAATCTCATCCGGATTGTGTATATGCCTCAAATCCTTTCCATGAATGTGCTTCGGCTTGTTTAGAGAGAATCGCACAAGGTCATGGAAGGAAGCATCCAAAGAAGCAAGGTGATTCTCTCTTGAAATCCATTACCCATATCATATCATGAATGTGGTTAGCCTTATCTATATGGTGTGATGGATGATGTATTCCTTTGACAAATTCACATATAGTGTGACGCCTTAGCTGATGTATTAACTCAAGACTTTGGGATTTGATCTAATGCTGCTGTCATTTTCCTGCCCCTTCTTGTCCTGCCTATGCCCATTTAATCCACTTTTGTCCTTCTATTGCAGCCGGTAGTGTTACCGCGACGAGTATTAATTGTGTCTTCTCGGGTTTTCGAGGGATAACTTGTGGCGGGTTGACCCGTTTTACTGTTCTTGTTGATCTTGGCTTTTGCTTTCATGGGCTTGCCATTAATTCCTTCAAAGAACTGTTCCTTTTTTTCTGATAGTTGTGTTGTTTATTGCAGCTTCGAAGATTCTTAGCTTCTCAGCGAGCTTCGGTAGGAAAAAGAAAGAATCAGTGCCACCGTCTCCATATGCCTCGAGACCCTATCAGAACAACGCTTACGCCAACAACAATCATTCTGCAAAGGATCATCGGCCAATGCCTCCTCCTGCTGCTGCCAATGCTGTAAAGAAGAAGACGTTTCTCGAAGAAAAGAAGTCGTCTTTCTCTTCTGTGTCTTCCGAGGAACTCCCTGCAGAGAAGTATTCACGGGATGAAGCTTTCAATCATAAGCAAGAACAGCTCTCGGAAACAGTTCTTCTATCTCCAAAAGACCTGGTATTTCTTTCTGCACTCTCCAATTTATCATCTATATTGTGTGTGTGTGTGTATATATATAGATGTAGGCACGCATAACAGAACTCAGGCGTTATATTATAGATCAAACGAGCGCGAAATTCCTGACGTTTTTCTTGTTTGATCTTCTGCAGATTGTTGATAGTAACAAAGCCGTAAAGCCAGTATCAAAAAAAAAAGCCGATGACGAGAAGAATGGATCGGCTGGTGAGATCAGGAGCTTCAGTTTTCTAAGCCCGCCAAGATCTAATGAAAACGACGAAGAAAGCAATGACGAAGATGATGATGATGATGATGATGATGACGAAGAGAACAACGAGATTCTCGGAGAAGAGATCGAACTTGAATCCGTACTGTCGGAATCATGTGTCTCGGTGGGGAAATACCGAGTGAGACCAGCTGTTTCGGCCATCTTGACCTCCATCATCGACAAACACGGAGACATAGCCGTTAACTGCAAGCTCGAATCAGCCTCCATGAGAGCTCGTTACCTCGAGTGCCTATGCCTGTTGGTCCAAGAACTGAAGTCAACCCCGGTTACCCAGTTGACCAAAGTCAAAGTCAAAGAGATGCTCGCTGTCCTAAAGGACTTGGACTCGGTGAACATCGAAGTGGGATGGCTCCGGACAGTGCTGGAGGAGTTTGCGGAGTTCAAGGACGTGGACAGGGCGAGAGAGAGGCACGTGGAACAGGTGAGGTCCACGAGGGCGGCGTTGGAAGATCAGGAAGCGGATTTGGCTCGGATGGAGAAGGAAGTGACCGAGGCCAGGTCTCGGGTCGAAGAGGCTCGAGCCCGAGTGGCCGAGCTCGAGAAAGAAGGGTTGAGGCTAGAGGGGATTGGATCGAAAGGCGAGAGATTCAAAGGGAAATCGTTCTTGGAGGAGCTTCTATGATGTAACTGTGTTAACTCGAGAGAGAGGGTATATGTTATGGTGTAGTGTCCGTTAATTATATATAACATGAAACCTTGTCTTGAGATATTCAGTGGTACTAATAAACTGTTTTGGCTTTGTAATTCATAAATTCTTTGATTTTATACACATAAATATATATATATATATATCTTGTTTTTATAAGAATAATATAATAGAGAAAAGAAAACAACAGGAACGTTTTTCCGAGGGGAGATTCTGAAGCTACGTACGAGTTTGATCCTGGTATAAGCAATAGACGAAAACAATCGAAATTCTTCTTCTTAGAAATACAAAGAATCAAAGATCAAGTTCAGACCTGAAAGTGTTCTATCATGGCGGCTTCTCAGTAAAGGCTGAACCCGAAGAACTGGCTGACGATGATGGCCAGCCCGAGGCCGATGGCTACAAGAGAAGACGCCCACGTCAGTTTCTCGGTTATCCTCGGGACCTTTTCCTTCAACGCTTCGCTGCAAGACCCTATAAACACCGTATAGCTTCCCATCGCGATTACTGTGCCAACCAAGAACATTGTGAGAAATGCAGCTCCTGCCAACTTGGAAGGCAAAGCCAATGCAGGCAGAACCATCATCAGAGCATCCGGCTGTAACCCGTGAACGATCCCCGTTGCAAATGTTGCAAACCCTATTTTCTTTTTCGGGGTCGAGGTTTTCTCCGTCTGAAGACTGTTGATGTCGGTTTCGCCATTCTCCAAGGCAACACATGGAGCCGGAATTTCGGAAGCTTCTCTGATCCCCATGGCACCAATGATAAGAAGGGTCAGGCCCACCACTCTTGTACCCCAAGTTCTTATGACTTCAATGTGAAGCCGATCCTTAAGAAGTAAAAACAGTAAACCGAAGATGACTTGACCAGCGTCGTGGCCGCATCCCCAGAGAGCTCCAACAGCAGCACTCTCCATTCTGCTTCGCCCAATTGAAAGCGGTGCCAAAGCAGCAAGGTGGTCGGGCCCTGAGAGCGTATGCAGACAACCCGCAAAGAAACCCGTCCATGCACTGCTCAGCAACTCGGTCCTGAGGAGTTTGCTACCAACAGCGGCGCCTCCAGATTTCGTAGCGGTTTGAAAGCTCGCAAAAGCAGGCGATGCGATAATTGGGTTGAGCAAAAGTACAGTAATTGCAGAGATTAGTATGAGAGTTCCCGTAGAAATGAACTGCAAAAAAAATCACACATTAGCAAACATTGAATAAATCCATTGACAGCACTGACAGGAGAGATAATGCCACAACAGAGATGGATCAGAGAAAAAGCTTCAACTTTGAAAGTTCTAAAAGGATTAACACGCAAGGGCTTTTCGAATCATCGCACAACCCCAAACATGAGCAACTAGTAGCGACAAAAAGGAGTTGCTACCCAAAAAAAACAGACGGAGTTGAATTACATGGAGTGGCCATGTCCTTCCTATCCAAGCTCATACTTGCCATCAAGTTTGGGCAATAGATGTAAGAAAAACAGTAACTGATTGGCTAAAAACGCATGACTTGTGTGTTTTGTCATAACAGGTAGATGCACAGGACAGACAAGGAGCATGGGTTCATCCGTACGTCATATGAATTCCGCTAGAAGAGATTTACACAGACAGGACTAAATGAATGAGGAAAAAGAATTAAAACACAAAAAGATTCTGCAGAATAAAACAATAATTCAGACAAATATGCAGCTAGTGTATTGCAGAATGTAACCACGAAAACGAATGCTGAATGTTGCAGAAACAAATACAGCATCAACTGATGATCACTAAGCCAGAAAACACAAGATTCTGGAATCACTAGCATCAGATTCCATGATCCTTCAAGCTGGTGAAGCACAAATTGTAAAGTAATCTGAAGTTTTCTTCCAGAAAAAAATGTCAGGTACGAATAATTCTTTGCCGTCAACAGGAATCATACGTTATGCTTCACCAGCTTGAAATCAAGGGAGAATCGCCATCAAGTTGAAAGCTTCAAAAACTTGAACTGTAACCCAAACCCCTAAAACCCTAAAACACCAACCCACAATTCAACAAAAAAATTTGTCGCAGCCAACCAGCGGAGATGTGACAAAACGTAGAAATGAAGATTTAACATCGATACAAACAGCAAGCCAAGTAAATCAAGAGAATCCCAGTTTTTACGCAACTGCTGCGTAAATTCGATACCTTTCGCTGCTCACAAGCTCCCCTGGCGATCCGCTCAAGAAACCCAGGATTAGGTTTCGATCCATCGGCCGAACCGAATTTGGAAGAAGAAGAAACAGGCCCAAACAAGGAATCGCTTGACTGAACCGATGCTGTAGAGGAATGAGGAGTCGGGTTCTGGTAGTGGCTGCAGGAAATCGAGTTGACTCGGGAGGAATAGGGCAGGCGAGAAGAAGCGAATGTGAGACTCGGCGAGTGGAGACGGGGCAATCGGGGAAGCAAAGAAGATACCCTGGATTGGAATTTCGACGGAGCTATGGAGAACGAAGATGGCGACTGGAGAAGCCTTTCCATGGCGTCTACCCCTCCCTTCCTCTCTCTCCCCTGATGAGTTCGGAGGCAAAAAGTCTGCACTGATAAAGGGGAGAGTACGTGCGCTCTCGTGAGGATAACTTTTGTTTTCCTTCTATAAATATTTGTTGCAATTTTTTTAAAAAAAAAAAAAAAAAAAAAAAAAAAAAAAAGTGGTGTGGATTGATGAAGTTACAAACATTATACATTGTAAAGAATAGTTTTAGATCTAATCTAAGAAATCTTCATAATACTGTAATCAGATTCTTTATCCAAAAAAAAAACGACTGTATTCAGATTATTTAGATTTTTTTTTTAGAATGAAATCGATAGATTCCTTTCACATATATATATATGATAGATTCCTTTCACACACACATATATATATATATATATACACATATATTATTTTATAAAATTTAAGGTTAAGATTTTGTATATGGTTGGAAGGTTGATATCGGCTAAGGGTGGATACTTAGCGTTTCGGACTAACCGGTTAACAAAAAAAAATATTATATACCATAAAATAAATTTATTTTTTAACGAAATTTTAGATTTTTTGTTATTTTTATATTCCGTTTAAAATTTTATTTTTAAAAAATTTAACAGTTCAATTTTTTATATGATATTGAATTCGGATAAGTTTCTATTGGGCTGAACCAAAACTGGTCAAGCCTAGACTAAGGTAGTGAATCCATGACCAAGCTGTGAAATCTTCGCAAGTAAAAGGCCCAAAAGCCCAATAATCTCATACTGGGGCAAAAATCTAATGGGCTGAGAAATAGCATTCAGGCCCAAATAACCCATCAACTCATCTATTAAACGTCGACCAATTATAACATTATGGTTTTTATTTTGATAAATAAATATAACTAATAACGTATTTATTGAAGAAAAAAACTGATTTCACTATTGATTTTCTCTCTCTTTTTCTTTGGCTCTACATGGTCGTTCTTCACGTATATTATCTTAAATAATTATTTATTTTAGAAGGACCAATCAATTCACCTATTTTTCTCACACAATATAATTTCACCTAATTATAATTAAAAGTCTTAAAATAATTTTGAAAACTAAAAATACGGAAAATATAGAAGATTCTTTTGACTGAAAATGATATTTTCCTACATAAATTGTGAAGTACAGAGGGGTTTTCATAATTTTCTTGGGTAACAACGGGCAAATACAAACCTATAAATATATATATATTATATATATATAAATACTATAGGATAATATTGTGAACGAGAATCGGATCATTTCACACGAAACTTGTCTAATCGTTACCAATTTCCACATGTTCATACGTATTAAGTACATCGACTGAATCACATACAAAACAAAGGATGCCTTGTCAGTGTCAGAAAAAAAATACTAAAAAGAAAAAGGAAAGTCGTGTATAGACAGTCTCCTATAATATCAGAAATTAAATATTTTATAAATCTATTGGCATTTCGTGGCTGACATAGCCTTTTTAATATTTCACAAGAACTATTAATATTATGCAACAATTTATTGGTTTTTCGTTACTTTTTACGAATAAATTATGGACTTGTCCAAGTTTTATATTAAAAGATGATAGTAAATTGTGGTTTTGATAAATGTTAATTTCGTTTGGGGATAAGTATTTTAATAACCAGTAAGAAAAAAAAAAGAAACAAATAAAATAGAATGAGTACGAAAAAGGAAAATGTCAAAGATAGAAAATTTGTTTACAAACATAGTAATTGTTTTTACTTTTTATGTTCTTATTCAAAAAGAAAAATTATATTAAAAATAATAGAACAATAGGATAGACGAAGCAATTTAGAAAAACGTTAATATATATATATATCACTAAAGGATCTTTAAATTAGGAATACATATATATATATATGTAAAAAAATACAAGACAAAATGATAAAAAGGTAAAATGTAAAAATTGAACTAAAAACAAAATTATGAAAATGAGAAGAAAAAATAGATAGATAGTTTTTCTTAAAATATTAACAAGATAAAATAAATTGTTATGAAAATATATACTGTATGATCCAAAATTAGAACCGTTGGGAGGAAAATATCCTCTGTTCAAATCGATTGGCTTGATTTTGATCTTTACTAAAGTAAAAAAGTAAAAAATTTAAAAAAATAATGGAACAAAGAAAAACCTACGAGGATTACTCTTTCAAGTCTCAAATTAACAGATGTTCTAATAATACTGCTACTTGTTTTCCTACTCCTTAGAAATTTTCCCGGAAAATTACAACAGAATTTCCCGGGGGAATCGTTGGTCGTTCTGAAATCTACAGCCTTGGATTCTCTCCGGGAAAGTTACGGCCTCGCCAGATAGACCCATCTCGTTCTTTCGCCGGAAAAAAACAGGGTAAACTGGGGAGCGGGAGCAGAAAATTTTCTCGGGAAAACTAGAAGGGTTTTCAGGAAATTTTCCCTAGAAAATCAAGGCCTCGATTGTAGCTTTCTTAGGGGTTTTACAAACGGGACAAAGATCGAGACTCGCTTCGCAGTTCGTGCAGCAACAGAGATGCCTACACGGCAGAAACAGAACGCACGTTTCCCCACTACACCCGCAATTCCTGCAGCTCATCACCATTTTCTCGCCGTCCAAACAAGCCCTCGCCTCCGCCGCCGGGAAACTCTCTCCTCCACCGCAGCAAGATCCTTCGTCCTCCGCCGCCGGGAAACAGGAGGCCCTCTCCCGGACCTGCTCGAGCGTGTTGTTGAGCGTCGCGACCATGACTTCGTTCTCGCGCGCCATTCTCTGCCAAGTCTGATTCTCCATCTCCATCTTCCTCAACAGAGCTTCCAGCTCCATTTTCTTGGTCGAAGCTCTGGCGATCTCTTCGTCTTTCTGAGCCATCAAAACCCAGGCTTTCGCTTCCATCTTCCTCACGATCATCTCTATCTGTTGCTTCCTCTGTTCTTGCAACACAACCCTCAATCTCTCGTTCTATGAAAAAAAAACAAAGAGATAATCAGTGCCCATGATTCAACCCGAAGAAAAACATAAAAAAAATAAACCTTTTTGCGAGGAGATTGAATCCGAACCTGCGATCTTATGAACTGATCGACCTCTTGCCTCTGTTTCTCCACGTGGGCAGCGAAAAAGCTCTGAGATTGACACTGTTGATGAAACAGGGCTTGCTGATTCATGTTCTTCTCAGACTGGAGATTGATGAATGACTGATCGAATCGGACGTTGTTGATCGATGAAAACTCCGACCCACCTCCGGTCAACGGAAACCCAATATTACTGGCATTCCGAGAATCGTAATTCAGCTCCGCCTGTATCGCCATATCCACCAAGAAAAGAAGAAACCCAGATTTCCTCGTTAACCAAACGGCCTACACGAAAACAGGGATGCCCAGAAATGATCGTCTTGATCAAATCAAACAACACGAACAGACGACGACCCTGATTCAGATTGTTTCGTCTCTGTGATTGTAATGCATGAATGAACCTCCACAAGAATATATGTATATGTATTTATGTATGCGTGTGTGTGAATCTCGTTGTATGTATGATGAGAATCAAAGAAACGAAGGGGTAAAAAAGAGTAAAGTAACTGAAAAAGTTGAAAAGGAGAGAGAGAGAGAGAGGGCCTTGGATACTACTAAGATGTTTTTCCTTTCATGCCTCTGACATTATTATATATAGATTCACTTTTTTTCTTAATCTGCACTTTGCCTAAATTTGTTTTATAAAAAAAAAAACTATTTTTATTTTATTTTTATTTATTGCCTTTTGAATATATATATATAGGTATATATATAGCACTAAAGAAACGACGTACACATGCTGATTTTGTGACTGAGCCATCTCTCTCTTTCTCGGTTCAGAGATTTTGCCAGAGACGTTTTGTTTTTTTAGTAAATATCGTAATTACTTTTTCGGATTTTTTAATTTGATAAAAAAATTAAGTCCTAAATGGAATTGTAATTGCAGGAGTTTGAATACATCTGATCGAATAAATAAATTAAAACTATGTAATCACTTATTAAATATGACATAAAACCACGTATAAAAATCAACTAAAAACTTAAAATATTTTTTTAATTTTCTCTCATTTTTGTAACGTTATCTGAATAAAATTGATTTCCCCCTCTGAATTAGTCAGTTGGGTCATCTGGAAAGCCTGAATTATTTGATTTTCTTTCTTCCATTTTTTTGTTCTAGAATTCTACCCTTTTACTATTTTAATTTTTAAATTAATTTTCGCAGTCAAACGGTGGCCGATTAGTGATTATCCTTAGTTTATTTCTTCTTAAAAAAAGGACACGCCATTATAAGGAAACCAAAACAACCATATAAACCTAACCCATGATTTTCTCCGAGTTAAAATATATAAAATAAATAGAAAACCTTTAATTTTTCCTTTCTCATCCACAACCGTAGGCATCAATTTAGATATATATATATATATATATTAATGGCTATTAAAGGCTAAGCCAACCATTCAAACCACATGCATGCATGCACGGGTAACATAGTTTTGTTAAATTGTTAATATATTGAATTATGATTTTATTAAGTGCACTAATTAAAATCACGAATCCTAAACGGTTTTATCATTGACCTTTTGAAAAAATTTCGGGTCAAATAATCCTTTTACATATATGCCTTCTATGCCCACGAAATACGCAAGTTTGGGTTTTCGCATCAATGTACCATGTAGAAATAGAATAATAATCCTTTTCGAGTTATTTGATATTTTAAAGAAATTAAATGGAACTTACCTTTGAGTGCACCGTGGAAATCTTAGGATAAGGTCTGAATTTGATAAGTCCAACCACGACCGGTCCAAATATGGAATTACAATCCATTAAAAATATAAAAATAAAAAAGATTGCTATATATCTTTTTTTTCTAAAAAAATTCGGCAAGTCTGGGTGGTTTGATTTGTCACATTCCATAAAAGAGCAACAATTTCAAAGTTTTCCTAGCAAATTTGGCATAATCTTTTAATTTTCCAGCGTAATTATGAGGTTAGGGAACACTGATTATTTAATTGCTGTTCCATGCATGCACATAGTCGTAAAATTAATAAAACGCATGCTTACGTGTCTTTCGTGCGTTCTATTGAGAAATTCCAACTCCATGTACGCAAGTATGCCAACGACGACGGGATAATTTCATGCATTTACATTAAAAAAAAAATAGTGAGTAACCTTTTTTCTTTCAAAATGTCGTAAAATCCGAATCTAGAAATAACTGAAACTCTACGATAGTTTAAAAAAAAACAAATTCGGCTTAAGCTAGGAGTAGACATGTGGCTTTTGTTTTTATTAAAAAGGGTGTTTTTTTTTAATTTATCTTCATTCAATTTTTTCAACTTTTTTTTCGTCCGAATTTGAGTCGAGCTCTTTTAATTTAGTGTAAATAATAATAATTCAAATTCGAATTCAGTTTATAAATCGGAATCGATTTAGAACAATCTCATTTTATTTGACTTTTCTCAACTAAACAATAAACAAATGTGGTAAAAAAACAGAAAAATAAACATGTGCAAAAAATAAATTAAAACTACGTATAATTTCATAAAAGTGCAATAAATATTTTATGCGGTCTTCTCGAAATCTCTAACTCAAATACGAGAAATAAAAAAAAAATATAAGAATATATAATATTAATACGAACTATTCACGTCGTCGAGTCGGTCGAATGACAATACAAATATGAAAATCGATAGTTTTCGAGAAGATGATAATTTTCTTTTGTTAAGTGATTAAGTGTTATAATATGGTCAAAAGGAGGGTAATTACGTGCATGCTTTTCGCTTTTCAGAATTCACGCAGAAACGCACCTCAAAGCCTTTTAGAATATAAGAAATAACAATAGTTCCTTTTTTTTTCACCAAACTCATTCAACAAATTAATCATCACAATAATCTTTTTTTTTTATAACGGAGGATCCCTAATTGTTATCATTCGGGCGTGCTGACTAGCTAGGTAAACCTCCGGCTCGAGAGCAGCTTTTGTATATGGATCATATAAACCCAGAAATTACCTCCCTCTTCACCAGTAAGCAATCGAACACTCAATCTCAAGGTGGAGTTACATCCTACCCCAAACTTGACCACTCGTCCATGATCTATTGGATTTCTTTTATTTTTGTATAAGACTATAACGATGATCCATCTAATGATAGGTTACCGATTAAACCGGTATTGTAAATATCTTATTATGTGATTTGAGTTTTCTCTTATTTGATTCCTGTTTTACAAATAACTCGACTCGGCATATATCTTGTCGTTTAATTTATGAATTATTATAACTAAACTACACTACAAGATGTGTGTGTATATATACCCAAGAACGATCATAATTAGATTTTAGGTAAACCCTATATTAACTTTCTAAAACTAAATAGAACGCACCATTAATCCCGTGAACTTAATCGTAATTTAAATTGTAGAAAATATAAGATAAAGTCGTCTGTCATATTCCAAGAGAGCATCTTCATATTAATGTCAAAGTCTAGGTAAACGTACGACACAAAACACCATGAAAAAGGAAAAAGAGCACATACAGTTATCTAAAATTTCCAAATAAATATATAATTTTTTTTCCTAAATATAAATATATTAACTATGTACAATTCATATACTTAATAATTTCAATATATCTAATTGTTAATCCAGTAGTATATATGATTATATATCCGCTCCGTAACTTATATAATACGTTGTTCTTAATCGAATATAATATATGATTACTTTGAGACGGTGACATGGATCTTAAATCACGGAAATCACTACAGATAACCAGATTCCGATCAAAACTCGATGGCCAAAGCAATGAAGCTGCAACAAATTCCAAACAATAATGTATTATTTTACGCTGCCCTAGGAGGCTCTTTTAACATAAAAAATAAATTATATATTATGACTGACACAAAGAAAAAAGGAGAAACCCAAAATTATTTTATTTTGTAAGATAATAAAACAATGTATACGTGATTCCTTATGAGGGAAGAAGCATGCAGGAAAAATCAGCCCGGTTAGTTTTTTTTTTCAAATAAATATACAAAAAAAAAACGTATAAAACAGAAGCATGGCTTGCTGAGCGTTGTCCCCCACGTCCTCCTATTTTCTATAAACAGCCAAAACCCTAAACAGTAATAGTATCAACAATAATAATAAGAAGGATGATGGTGATGATGATGATGATGATGAAAAGTATATGTATATATGTCACGAGTTGTTGTATGCCGGCATAAGAATTATCATCAAACAAAACTATATGATACTAAACGCATTATTGTAACAATTTATATTTCTTTAGAATGATATAAGTGGCATACTGATTTAAATTTTTACTTATTTTTAAAATCACGGGCTAATAAAAATTTTCAGTCATCAAATCAAGGATTATGTTTAGAAAATAATATTTTTTAGAATATAAAAAATAAAAATAAAAATTTGTGTCATATTAATTTAATTTTATTCATATATAATTAATATTAGTTGTCTTATTTTTATATGAATTAATTTAAATAATTAAATATTAGTTCAGTACTAATTAGATTACACTATTTCAATTATACTGACCTGAATTTTTGTAGAAAAAAAGTTTTTTATTTTATTTTTCGCGAATTATACTTGCTTGATACATATATTTCTTAGCACGACGAAAACGAAATTATAGGAAACCACAAATAAAAGATACAAAAAAGAGACATTATTATATGTGTTTGCAGAAATAATTCTTTTTTTTTTTCTTTCGGTTCTTTCGATGATGGGTAGGGTTTTTGGACGGTCGAGATGAAGACGGGGTCCATGCATGACATGGTATATGCGAGGAACGTATGTAATGGTGGTGCCAACCATGTGATATTATTGAAAACTACAATCTTCTCTTGTACCTTTTTTTATTTTATTTTTTATATAAAATTTTTATTTTTTATTATATATATATTTGTTCATCTTTGGTGACGAGATAGACATTATGGTTGTGGGTGCACTGGGTGGCTGTAATCGTGATCATGCGAGTCTGCCTGTTTCTTGGGAGGTGGATATGTTGTTTTTGTTTCCTCAAAAAAAAAAAAAAGTTCAATCTGATTTTTTTATATAAACAAAAAGGGAAAGATCCAAATGGTCACTTCTGGTATCCGTGACACGTTATCGATGCATCTCCTCCATGCCTCCGATGCTCACTCGCATAATGTAATAATAGATGAATTTACATATTTTTAAATTAATTTTAACTATTTAAATTAATTCATTCAAAATTTCTAATCCACTAAACGGTGGTTCAGTGGATAGGTGATAAAATCACTTTGAGGTTCATTTCAATTAATGGAGAAAAATACGTAATTAATTGTATGATTAAAAGTTGATTTCGAATATAGAAAAATTAAGTGAGTCGAAAATCCAATAAACTTTTTTGGTTGTAGAAAAAATAAAACTAATATATATATATGTCTGTGTGTGTGCTTATGTTTACATATGGACATATGAATACAATATACAAATATATATATATATGCGTGTGTGTGGTATATGCTTATGTTTATACATGGACATGGATACATTATATATACGGGCGCGCACACAAACATATATATATATATATATATATATGCGTGTATAAATTACGACACGTTTTCA